TTTAAACATCTCTGTGACAGGCCAGCAATAAACAGATGCCTGTGAAGTTTCTTCTTACTTTGTAAACCTTCTAGGAATGTACCTACATAACTTAATTGGTAGTATAAATTTTAGGTCACTATGCTAATAACTGCTGTCTAAACTATAATCTCGTAGGCTTAGTTCCCAGAAATATAGCTCTTAGGAAGATAAACCCAAGTCATCTGAGTTACTGCTGCCTGAGGGAAAGGACACTTCATGATAATGCTCTCAAGTATTTTACTATCTTTGTTCTGTACCTGTGAACTACTTGTCACAAATTTCTGTACATGGTCCTTGGTCTTGAAGGTCAAGAATTCTACCCGACCAATTATATATATAATTCTACCTCACCAAGGAATTTGTCTAAGGTTTTCAACATCACCTATGGATTACCTATTTCTCATTTTTTCCCCTTTGTATGTTTGGTCAGTCTCTTATTTCTTCTTTCATGGGTTGGCTTGATTATTTACAGTGTTAATGGATAACTTTTGATGGTTTTGACAAACACATTGAGGATGCAGCTTTTTAAATCAAAGGAGCTCTGAGTCAATTAAGAAAACTGGTAGAAATGACAATTTTCCAAGAGTTGTCAACCTTGTTTAAAGAGTAGCCACACTTCCTGAATTATTGTTTTTGTTTTTAGTTTGTTTTTCTCAAGATTTGTTAGTATGATTTTTATACATAAGGCTACCCAATAATATATTACCATTCCATCCCTAATTCACAAAATTATACCTACTATACAATTTCATGTATGATGCATTTCCTTCAACCATAAATAGAGATCTTTTTGTGTCTTTCCACAGTTTTATTTTTAAAGATGCAAAAAATTCACTTAATTAGATGGACTATTCTCACATAAAGAATACTTATCTCTAAGGTTAGTAACATGTGACACTACTTCCATAGACATTTTTCCCCCAAGATTTCCAAAACAAATGACTTCAATATTCATTCTGAAATTCACAATATATGTCTTCTTTTATATTTTATTTAGAGACAGAATCTTGCTGAATTGCTTAGGGCCTTGCTAAGTTGCCGAGGCTGGCTTTGAACTCATGATCCACCTGCTTCAGACTCCCATGGTGTTGGGATTACAGGTATGTGCCTCTGTGCCTGGTTCCAACAATTATCATTGTACTACAATCTAGATCTCCCTTTTTATATAATAATGTTTGCTTTATATGTTTTGGTTATTCAGTGTTGAGTATGTATACACTTATAATTTTTATCTTGCTGAATTGACACATTTATCATAATATAGTGGCGATTTTATCTTCTTTTTACAGTTTTTTTTTAACTTAAATATATTTTATCTAATGTAAGTAGAGCTATTCCTATGCTCATTTGGTTTCTTGAGAGGTGGTGGCTCCAATTCTCATAATGACAGCCTCTTTCTGATACTCCAAGGAGATATTTGAATGATGCTCTGACCAGATCACCAGGCCATTAAGACCCCTGCTGAAGACACAGGTTGTGGTGATAGATTACACAAGGTCTAAGGCCAAAGGCCACAGGATACTTAATATTAGAGAGAAAGTTACACCCTGTGATCTCCAGGGGCCACTAAACTTGACCTCCAACACTGGTCAACAGTGTGAGTGACATGGGTTAGGGAGAGAGGTCATGAGGAAGGAATCTCAAACAACTATCTTGTGGATACAACTGGGAAACACTGCTTCAAAAACCACTGGATAGATGTTCATTAGATTGCCACACTTTTCCTAGAACTGAGGAAAAAGTTCGCTGAATACCTAGAAAGAGTCAGAATTAGTAGCAATATTTTAAGAGAAGGGGGCCAGGCTCAGTTGGTAATGGGTAATGTGGATGACAGTTGTAGAAGAGTCTTACAGCAATGAGGACGCTGTTTCCTACACCCCAAAACAGAATCTACTCGTCTCAGAATCAATTCCACTGAAATACTTGTTATGGAGCAAATAAAATCCTTATACTAAATTTTCCATCCACAGAAACTTATTTCAGCATTACTAGAGTTGAAGATGCATAGTTTTACCACCCTACTTTGCATCAGGCTTGATAATCTAAGTGATGCTGTTTAACATATTCAATTTAGTGACTTGAACCCATATAGCCTAAATTCTCATAGGGTTTGTCCAATGTGTGTGATGTGTATTGTTCTTCAGGTGCTCGTTTCCATTCTCTTCTGAAGGCCAGGAAACAACAACAAAGAATACAGCATTCTCTCTTTATCCTGATTCTGGAACTCACTCTTCATGCAGACCCAGATCACAGTTACCTACTTCCTGGCCCCTATAGAAGGAACTATTCAGTTCTGGGTTCCAGAGCCCTCTGTATTCTCCCCTCCCTGCAATCTCTTCATATGGTACAAAGATCTTATTCTACACATTTGAACCTCCAGGAGCCTAGGAACTTCTCTGTAGCCAAAGCTATTTATAACATCAGCTATTGTGTGATCAATCAGTGGGATGTTGCCTGTGGAAATCTACAAACTGACAGTGACCAGGTTATCCAGCCAATGTGGTTTCCACTGAGACTGATGTTTGAAAAGTGAATAGTAAGTGTTGCTGTGGTCTTCCCAGAGTCTCCGCAGTAGGTTCACACTATTGAGTCATCCCTCTAACTGCTAGGCTGGGGAACTGGCCTGTGTTTGCTAATTGGGACTCAACATCTATGTCTCTCTGGGCCATATTCTCCTCCTCCTAGGTCTATGAAAGATCGCAGCAGCTTCTTCTTTCCTAGTGTCTCTCTTGTATCAAAATATGAGTCTCACCCTCTGCGGCCACAGCTTAAGGAACCAAGCTCAGACTGTAGCTGCTGTCATGTACAACTAAGTAGAGTGGAGTAGAGATCACCAATGGGGAATAAAATTTGCATGACCAGTCCCTCCTATTTTAGGAGAGTGAAGACAAAATAAAAGTGACCTGGGCCAGCCAACCCTGCTCTGGGGCCATAGTGAGCTGTGTACCCCATGGCCTGGACTCTGTCCCATTTGTGTTTCTCCCTATAGAGGTAGGAGCATTTGTCAGAGAAATGGGACACACCCCAAGACTGTGTCAGTAACTGGCTTAGATAACCAACCAGTTTAACTCTGATCCCTGTCCCCATCATCCATGTGTCTGTAGTTTTCCGGTTCACTCTCCCAGCCTGTGTTGACTCAGCCACCCCTATTCTCTGCATCCCCTGGAGCATCTGCCAGATTTACCTGCACCATGAGCAGTGGATTCAGTATTAGTGGATTCTACATATATGTATCAGAAGAAGCCAGGGAGCACTCCCAGATATCTCCTGCACTACTGCTTAGGATCAGAAAAGCATCATGGCTCTGGGGTCTGTATCCAAAGATACTTCATCCAGTGCAGATGATTTGCACATTTCTGGGCCATAGCCTGAGGACAAGGCTGACTATTAATGCAGTATATGGGATGGCAGCTATAACACACAGTATTCCAGGCTCACAGGAAAGTTAAACTAAAATATTCCCTATGTGCTCCTGGTCTGATGTGGTAACTGCTGCTGTATTCTTTGTTGTTGTTGTTGTTGTTGTTGTTGTCATTGTTGTTGTTCTACTTAGTTGTACATGACAGCAGAATGCATTTCAATTCATTGTACACAAACGGAGCACAACATTTCAATTCTCTGGTTGTACACAGTGTAGAGAAGCACCATTTGTGCAATCATACATGTACATAGGGTAATGAAGTCCACCTCATTCCACCACCTTTCCTACCCCCATAGCTCCTCTTCACTTTCCCATTTGCACAACTCAAAGTTCCTCCATTCTTCCTAGAATGCTGCGTTATTATTGAATGTGCAATGTTCTCAGATGTATCAGTTTGTAAAATTATTCAGAGGTATCAAACAGTGTGGGGTGCTAGACAATGGCAGAGCACTCACAGTTCTGATGTCCTAGTTCTATAATGATTATGTTGCCAGTTCACCCTGTGCCTGTCCATCTAGCTGCTTTCCTGACACAGAGGACTACACATGGATAAGTGAGCACAGCTCAAGCATGGGATCCTGAAAGATAAGTGTAATATCTACTCTCAAGGCACTTCCCCAAATAGCAAAGGGCCATTTCAAGGAGAAGATGAATGGATATTTCATTGACAGTGTCTGTGCCATTTCAACATGACTGAGACATGATATTTTGAAAAAGGGTTTTGATTGCTTGTGCATAAGAGCAATGAGTTTTTTTTAAAAAACCTCATTTCACCAAAATACCATGAAGATTAGAAACTCAACTGTCATTTAAACCACTAATCAAGCAAGTAAAGAAAAAATATGTCATTTTAGATTCATAATTTAAGTGCAGAAATACCTTTATTGTTTATATATATATTTCAATTCAAGTAAGGATTGGATTCAGTTTGAACAAGGAGCTGTTGTATCAGTTGTTGTTGTATCAGTTTGAGAGCTGTTGTATCAGTATGAGACCAACCTCACTTCATTCAACCAAAGTTCAGCATTGTGATCATTGCATTTCCAAAGTTTCCTCATTAATTAATTCTTCTATACAACTGTTTGCATGACAAAACTAATGTGCACTTCTCTCTTTTGTATTGAATGTTTAAATCTTAAATTTGAGTAGTACACTTCAAGTTTTGAGAACACGTGGGAGTTTATAATAAAAGATCAGAAACTGTGGAGCGTGGCTTCTGTGGTGGCCTCTGTGGCCCTGGGAGAAAATGGAGCCAGAAACTTAACTGGAGGGGCAGCCCTAACCCCTCTAGCCCAGTTCCTGTCGTTTCTGCTGCCAGGAATTCCTTTCTTGCTGGACTTAGTGCATTCAAGTGCCCAGTGGTCTGGGCTGCAAGTGGGATGGTCGTCGAGGCCCAAGCACTCTGGGTGAAGAAAATTGGGATGCCTTGAAGGACCCTTCACACCCCCCACCCCACCCCAAGCAAAAATCCCCAAGTGTTGAGCAGTTGTCACCAGTGATTGAAGGTGGACACCTGTGGTCACAGACGTGAGGCACATTTTATGAACTGATCCAGGCCAATGTGCAATGCCAACATGTCTGTGTCTACTGATGGTGCTGTAAGCACCTCACGGATTCCAGCTTCAGAACAAGAGACCCTGGTTAGACCAAAGCCATTGCTTTTAAAGTTGTTAAAGTCTGTTGGTGCACAAAAAGACACTTACACTATGAAAGAGGTTATATTTTATCTTGGCCAGTATATTATGACTAAACTATTATATGATGAGAAGCAAAAACATATTGTATATTGTTCAAATGATCTTCTAGGAGATTTGTTTGAAGTGCCAAGCTTCTCTGTGAAGGAGCATAGGAGAATATATACAATGATCTACAAAAATTTGGTGGTAGCCAATCAGCAGGAACCATCAGATTCCAGCACATTAGTGAGTGAGAACAGGTGTCACCTTGAAGGTGGGAGTGATCAGAAGAACCTTGTGCAAGAACTACAAGAAGAGAAGCTTTCATTTTCCTGTTTGGTTTCTAGACCATCTACTTTATCTAGAAGGAGAGCAATTAGTGAGACAGAAGAAAATTCAGATGAATTATCTGGTGAATGATGAAAGTGCCACAAATCTGATAGTATTTCCCTTTCCTTTGATGAAAGCCTGGCTCTGTGTGTAATAAGGGAAATATGTTGTGAAAGAAGCAGTAGCAGTGAATCAATAGAGACTCCTTCAAATCCGGATATTGAAGACGGTGTGAGTGAAAATTCCAGTAATTGATTGAATCAGGACTCAGTTTCAGATCAATTTAGTGTAGAATTTGAAGTTGAATCTCTTGATTCAGAGGAAACAGCCTTAGTGAAGAAGGACAAGAACTCTCAGATGAAGATAATGAGGTATATCAAGTTATTGTGTATCAGGCAGGGGAAAGTGATACGGATTCATTTGAAGAAGATCTTGAAATTTTCTTAGCTGACTATTGGAAGTGTACTTCATGCAATGAAATGAATCCTCCCCTTCCACCACATTGCAATAGATGTTGGGACTTTTATGAGAACTGGCTTGGATGTGCCTGATGGTTAAAAAAAAAAGAAAAAGAAAAAGAAAAAAACTACAGCAAATAATTCCAAAGAATCATGTTTTGAAGAAAATGATAAGATCACACAAGCCTCCTGGCCACAAGAATGTGAGGACTATTCTCAGCCATCAACTTCAAATAGCATTATTTATAGCAGTCAATAAGATGTCAAAGAGTTTGAGAAGGAAGAAACACAAGACAAAGAAGAAAGTATGGAGTCCAGTTTCCCCCTTAATGCCATTGAACCTTGTGTGATTTGCCAAGGTCAACCTAAAAATGGTTGCATTGTTCATGGTAAAACAGGACATCTTATGGCAGGCTTCACATGTGCCAAGAAGCTGAAGAAAAGGAATAAGCCCTGTCCAGTGTGCAGACAACCAATTCAAATGATTGTGTTAACTTATTTCAACTAGCTGCCTTGTCATAAAAGTAGAATTATATATTTCTAGTTATAACCCTAAATATTTTGACCCCATGGATTTTATTTTTATTTACATTTATAAGGGCAAGAAACTCAAACTGTCTTCCTCTAGATTTCTTTGTAATGTCAATTTACCTACCTTGGGAGGAAAAGTAGTTAGTATGTATTCCCTTTTAGGAAAGTTTCCCCTTCTGTTTATATTTTATATTTGGGTTTTATTCAAATTACAATGGATATATAGCTCATTCTTTACCCTCACCCATCATTTTAAATAATTTCAACTCTCTTAAGTGAGAAGTACCTAATTTTCTTTTTTTAAAAAAATATAAGGCATTTAAATGTAACTTACTTAGTACTTTTCATGTAAGGAGAAAAATATGTATAAGAAACATAATATTTAAATTTTACATACTCTGTGCTGGATGTGGTGATCCACACCTGTAATCCCAGTAACTGAGGCTGAGGCAAAAGGATTGCAAGTTCAAGGCCAGCCTCACCAACTTATTAAGATCCTGTTTCAAAATTAAAAATAAAAAGGGCTGAGGATGTAGCTCGGTGGTTTAGTGCCCCTGGGTTCAGTCCCTGGTACCAAAAAATAATTTTAGATACTCTGAAAGTTTCTGATTTTTTCATAAGTTCTTTCATAAGTTGATAGTTATATTTGGTGCTATGTAAATAAAAATGAACTTATTCTGCAGCCTGTTACATGTAGTAAGATGTAGGTAGTAATGAGGTCAGTAAAATGAGGAATTGTGAGAAAATTGTATTGTTTCCTATAAGCTGAAAAGTGATTATAAGACACTTTGAAACACCTTTTTTTTTTGGACTAGGTTGTGTGGTTCTTAATAGTTTCCTAAGTTTCAGAATTTGGTTTAAGGCTTGTTTTAGAAACCAGTGAATTCAGAAGTTTGGTAAACAACTGTTTATTAAAACTAGTTGGACAATTTGTAACTTCTCTTTGAATTATCCAGAAATTGTGCATCACTTTTCTTCAAGAAAGACAGGGTCAGGGGCTGGGTGGGGTTGTGGCTCAGTGGTAGGGCACATGCCTAGTAGGTGGGAGGCCCTGGGTTCGATCCTCAGCACCATATAAAAATAAATAAAATAAAATAAAGGTATTAAAAAAAGACAGAGTCAGAACATTGGATTCTAAAATCTCTCAGTCTAGGTAAATTAACTTCTTGATTATAATTAGTCTTAAGCAAAAATAATCACCTTAATTTAAAGTCCTAGTATTTTTACCCCATGTGTGACAATTATACATACTCAAAAGAGGACATTAAAAAGCTGGATTATAAATTTAGAATGGAACCAAAGGATAATTTTGCACAGCCAGCTACTAACAATACATTGTTCGTTTAAACTTCAAAAACAAAAACACCAGTACCTCTGTGACTTACCCATCTATATACATATAAGTAGCAAACAAATGTCTAAATCGATCAGTATTTTAGCTTTAGGGCAGTTCTGAATCACAATAAAGCTTTATTAATTTGGAATTTAAAAGACTAGGGAAGAATTAAGAATAATCCATCCTTTCTGAGGGGAGTCATAAACAACACACACTCATATGTATGCAGTGAATTCTATTTACTCAACATTCAGCCTTGAGAGTGGAATTCTTTTATATGTACACTGATTAATAATGTCTCTAAATTTTTATGTTTAGTATACTATTTATTGATTTACAAATAAACAATTTAGTAAATGTTTAAAAAAAGATTCAGAAAGGTTTAAGCATTAGCTCCCTACGATCTTTACTCAATGTGTAAATCTTCTACCCAGAGTGGGTACCAGAAAAGAGGAAAACCAACATTTTCTCTCTGGATTCTATTTCACTGTGTTAACTAATGGCTGAAAAGTTTGTCATTTCAGCTCCCTCATAACTTCAATTGTCGGTTACTTTTGTTTCATGCACATCATCACATGACAATTTTAATTCTTAGGGTTCCATTTCCCAGAATTCCATGGGCAAGGCCAGATCTGATCCTGTGCTGTGTCACTTGAGGGAGGGTGTGTGTGTAATATTTTATTTAGAGGCAGGATCTCTCTAAGTTACTTAGGACCTCCATAAGTTGCTGAGGCTGGCTTGAACTCATGATCCTCCTGCCTCAGCCTCCTAAGCCTCTGGGATTACAGGTGTGTGCCAACACACCTGGCTAAGTGTTTACATTTTTTTTTTTTTGAAAAATTGGAGGAGGCTTTCTGAGTGAATATTGTAGATTTTATTTTATTATATAATTGTAGAAGTATTATAACATCAATAAAAGGGGAATCAGAGGGCAGCTATTGTGGGGGATTTGGCCTTACTTCCTCATCTATCTGTGTCACTGTCAGAGGCACTGTTATGCCAAATTGCATAGCAATAGTGAGTCTTTCCCTCTGACTGAAGTGCAGAGATGTGCAGAACATCTGCATTGACTGAGAATGTTTGGATCCAGAGAAGTGATCAGGGACTCCAGAGTCCTGTTCCTTATCTGATTCAGTAGTAGCACAGGAGCAACCAGTGAGGGCTCTCTGGCTTCTGCTGGTACCAGCATACTTTATATCTGCCAATGCTACTTCTCTGGGTGAAAGTAAGATTGACTGATGATCCATAAGAGGCTGAAATGGAGGGCAGCTGAGCAGCACAGCCTGGGCGAGGGAACTGCAAACAGAGATTTCTGCATTATGGCACATGGACCAGGGCAAAATTTCCCATGAATCAGAGCCAGAAGAAAAAAAAGGTTTTAAAGCTGCCCATCATTGAGGCCTCATCCTACCTGTGGAGTGAGAGAGGAGCAGGAGAAGGAGAAGAGTCCAGGCCATGGTGGAAAGTGAACCTAGGGCCCCACCATGGGGCTGGGTCACCTTGTGCCTCCTTTTCTTTCCCACTCTCTGCCAGTATAGGGGTTATTCATGCAAATATGCTTCCTTCATGATTTCTCCAGCCTCTCCTTGGGCCCTGGTGCTAGAGCTCAATTTATATTGTATAGACTGAGAAGATGAGGGCTTGTTATATTTCTTTATGGATTCCTGGGAGGAAACATTTTCTGAGATGAGACAAAAGTCCTTGCTTCAATACTCAGGCCAGAAATAATGCAGTTGGTGAGTCCTTATCAGTGAGCACAGGGCCCAGCCCAAGGCTAGGGCTCCTTTGAGTAGTGGTCCCAACTCAGCAGCTATATGGGGACTACAGGACTCTCCCACAGTGCCCCTTCATAGTCAGTGCACTTTCCTGGTCAAAAGGCATGGAGACAAAAGAGCCCAGCTTGTTTTTGTGGCTAAACAGGTCTCTCTATATTTTTACACGAATAGTCTGATTTCAAGTCACTGAGATTCTGATACACTGTAAGATTGCTATAGATTCTCACTCCTGGGAGGCCCCATCTATGGGTGGTACAAACAGGTATATACTGACAATTTTGCTGAGCATTGTTGTGCCAAGCTTTGATCCCAGTACCTCAGGAGGCTAGGACAGGAAACCAGCAAGTTTGAGGCCACCTTTAGCAACTAGAGAGAAATAAAATATCAAAACATCAAAGTATCAAAATAAAACAAAGAAGCAAAAGCTCTGGAAATGTAGCTCAGTGATAGTGTGAGCCTGTTTCAATGCCCAGTACCAATAAATAAATAAATAAATACTTAAAAAATTAGCACACGTGAAGACAATGCTATAGAGTCATATCTCTTCTTTGATATATGATTTAGAAAATATCTGCATTGCTAGCATTATATTTGTTTTGAATTAACCTGTGTATTCTTATTTTCATATAAGTTGTGTTTGGTCTTCCATACTTAAGCTAATTAGTTGTTTAATATTTGATGAAGTGAAGGAAGCACAATAGAATCAAATGTTTGTAGTTTCTAGGATCCTTGTATAAAAATGAAGTCCGGACTGGTACATATGTGCTTTAACAATCATTTATTGCCTCAGTCAATCTCTTCTGTGTATCCCAAGTTGATAAACTCTTCCTTATTCTTTCACATTTTTTTCCACTAGAGATGTGGGATTGTGGGTTGAAGGACTGAAATTTAGAATTGTTTTGGTTACACAGTATATTTTGAACTCTTGCTTTAACATTATATTAATGAATAAGTAGCTCTTAGTTAATCTAAATGTTCATTCATTTCACCCTGCTCTGCAGTGGATGTTCTTATGTAGTCCTCTGTGCTCAGAGTTTGCGACACCATCTACTAATATTGTGGCTTTTTTTCTCAGTAGCTGGAGGCCCATCATATCTACTTTTCTCTGTATGAATCCATAGAATCCATTCCATCCTACTTATCACCTTCCCCAGATCTAAAGTTCATGGTCTTCTCCTGTTTTATAGACCCAAAGTTTAAGTTTATAATTTAATATCTTCTCTTAAATCAAGTCAGAATGTCAAATTCAAAATATCCTAGTTGTAACAATCATGAACTTTGCCTCAGATCTACTTTTCATTATGGGATTCCAATGCAGGTGGATATTCATTATACAAACAGATTGAACATGTGCTTTGAGCCAGGTTGCATTCTGGACTCTGTATATACATCAGTGAAAATACAGGGGGAAACCCCCTGTCCTAAGGAGCTCAGTTCCTTATGCGAAAACTCTCAGTGAACAGAGACACACAGGAATATCCATTGGTGATACCACCCTGACCATACTCACCCTAGATATCTGAATCCCACTCCTGAGTGCTGAGAGCTACTCCCTACCTACTTCCTGTGCACGAACCTGGTGCCTGTTGCTACTTGCATGGCCAAACCCAAGAAAATGGTGAGAGGTGATGGGGGATTAAAAAAAGCACACATACAGATATAGAGAGAACACTAGGATTAGGTGGAACACTGCACTCTGATGGAGAGACAGTGACACAGAGCTGGTCTGCAGGTTTATTATATAGGGTCCCATAATCAGGAAGCTAGTCTACAGAGGCATTGTTCTTGGTGCATTATAAAGTCACAGGGCTATAAATTTTCTTGTAGCTGTTTCACTGTTGCAATGCTTGAGGCTTTCTGTGGCACCCAGGAAGCCCATTGTTCAGTTTTTACTAAGCAGGCAGCTTGAAAGTTACAGCA